AGCCAAGGATTGAGTTTGCAGAACGTTATTATGGATGTAGGTAATTCTGTATTCAGTCCTGGTCAAATTTATGTTGCATTATCTCGAGTAACGTCTTTAGAAAGACTGCATTTAAGTAATTATGATTCTTTATCTGTAAAAGCTAGTGAAGAAGCTATTATTGAGTACAATAGGTTAAAAAAACCTGAAGAACAAATGATTAGTGTTTCAAAACAAAAAATTCGTGAGGTTGAAGATAATAATTCATGGACTTTATTAAAAGTAATAGCTTCTGTACAAGAACCAAAAGAACCGCATCAAAATATTCAGAAAAGTACTGGTTGGATTATTTGTGGTTTCCAAAACACAGATAAAGTTTCATCCTATGCAAATGCAATATTGCAACGTCTTTTGCACGTAAAAATCATTAGAAAACAAATATTTAATTATGATAAAGAAAAAATTCTATTTGTATTAATGCATCAATATGAAAATGGAATGCCTAACTTAAATACATATAAAATACGACAATATCTAGGAAATAACTTTTCAAATAATGTAAAACGTGATGCATCTGAATTTTTTTTAACTCTTTGCGCATAATTTGACTTTATAAAAAATGTAGTCAAGCATGAAGTAACTTCCACTACATGCAAAAATTGGGAATATACAAATATAGTTATATCAAATAATATTGAAATTTCAATTCTTGTCATTAATTTAGAGAAAAAGAGTTATGATTTTAACGATTTATTAAGTGTTACCTTTTCTCAGTGGTGTGAATCCATTAACGATTTATGTAACACTTGTAGAAAGAATCATAAGATATTTAAAAGAGAATTACCGTTGACAAAAGAAATACTTATCATTTGTTTTCTATTATTTTCAGAAGATGGTAAAGTAATATCAGCAAACAAACAAAATATACGTGCTGTTGTTACGTCCGAGTGTTCAAGGTCACGGTTCGACGAAACCGTTTACACTTGTCGAACGTACGTTCTCCCTTTATGGTCAGCCGTACTGGCTTTACCGGGGCGGAGAATGAGGATTTTGGTCGGGAAGATAACTGGACTGATTATTACCGATTGGTACTTTATTCCTGACTGTTACTGATTGTGGTTACCGACAGTTACCGACTGTTGTGTTGTTACCGACAGTTACCGACTGCCGTGTGGTTACCGGCCGTTATCGACTGCCGTGTGGTTACCGACAGTTACCGACTGCCGTGTTGTTACCGGCGGAATTACTAACTCGAATACTTTAAAGAATAGTAAAGTTATTTATTATTAATTCCCTTTTTCGAATACAACGCGTCTTGTCTTTTCTTTATATAAACCTTAAACCGCGGGTCTGATGGCGGAATCGTTGCTGGATACACCACTTTTGGCTTAGTAAATTTTATTAATTTCCACCCGGGTTTAATAATTACGCGATGGTTTCTAAGAACTTCTATATTGGTTATAACGCACGGAGCGGACCTAACCGAGTGTTCTGCTGTATTTGTCGGACGTCTGTTGGTTGGTTCCAACGTTGACGGGTCAAACTGTCCGT